GCCTCACCCCATCGCCTCCACTTGCCCGGGCCAAACATCAGGGGCACGGAAGGAGCAGTAGGTGCACCAGGGGTGGGCGGCTGGGACCGGGTGCGTGGTGCGTGTGAGGGGCATTGTGGGGTGTGGAGGAGCATGGGAAGCATCCAAGCCTGGTGGGCCCTCATGTCTTCCCTGGGGTCAGTGTCTCCAGAGTCCAGACCTCGTGGCTGAGGCCCCCTGGCTCACTCCCGCTGTTCCTCACAGCGCCCCTCTGTGGTGCTAGCCCCTTGGCCGACCGCAGTCTGACCCCAGAGTGGCTGATGGCTGGGCTGGCCCAGGCACTGCTGTGTCGGCGGCGTTTGTGGGTGATCCAGGTTCTGGGTGGCAGCCAGGGATGGGGTGACGGGAGTGTGACCGTCCCGGAGCACCCCTGCTGCAGGGCCAGGTGGCTTTCTGTCATGCCAGGGCCTGGGGGAGGCCTCTTTCCGGAAGCCTTGGTTGCCCACCTAGCCTGGCTCCCACTGTGTGGCTGAGGGCCTTCCTGTGGGACTGTCGCAGGCACTGGGCCTTTGCTGATCTCAGCAGGCCCTGGGAGCTCAGGCTCTGGGCCCTCTCTGCTTGTTCCCGTTTGAGGGGTAGCACGCGGCTAGGCAGCCACGGCTCTGAGCTTACGGCCAGCACCACCAGATGCGTGCGGCAGCACTGTGCTCTCTTCAAGGCCTCTGGCTGCTACGTGACTCAGGTGATCGTCATCTGTGGTAGAAAATCTGAGAATTCAGAGGAGCCAGAGAGCCTGTCACCACAGTACTGGGTGGGCCACTGCTGAGTGTCCAAGGGCGTATGTACAGAGGCCGCACGTGAGTGCCTACCTGCCACGATGTACCCTTTGTCACTGCGACCCACTCTGGCTGCCTGGGATGGTGGCACGGCCCTGCTCTGTCCTGACTCCTCCCCGTGCACCAGGACCCAGCCCCCTGGCCCCACTGCTTCTCGGTTCTTATGTTCGGTCCTCTCCGAAAGCTGATCTGAAGCAGCGCACCTGGAGGCCACAGTGCCAGGACGGGACAGGCGTGCCCCAGCTCCGCCCCACCCACTAAGTCCTGGAAGCAGCAGGAGCCCGCCCCCTGGCCCCCCCCGGTCTGTGGCTGGCTGAGGAGTAGCAGGTGGCTGTGGGAGACAAGACTCAGAGCTGTGACTGTGCCCTGGTCCTTGCAGCCTGGCCTGAGTGTGGCTGGCCCACACTGATGCCCTCTCCCGCTCTGGCAGCCATGAGTAATGTGGAGGTCTGACCCAGCCCCATGGTGACAAGCTGGAACTCCTCCCTCCTCCCAGAACCACTGCTGGAGGACAGCCGGGTGGGGGCAGAGGGGACAGGAAATGCTTATAGCAAACATGGAACCTGTAGCTGTGGTCATCTCTGAGGAGTTCCTGCATTCCCCCCCTGGTCATCCTCTCCCAGGAAATTCCTTTCCAGTGGAGGGAATGTGCTGCCCACCTGGGGACCCTTCTCACATGCGTGCTCTGAGCCAGGCAGCCACACGGCGCTTTCCTCACGGCCACGCCTGATGGTGCGTGGCTGCTTGCTGGCTGCATCGGAGTCACGCCAGCCTGTCCTAGTCGGTGTCCGTCCTAAGGCCCACCCAGGCCAGGGCTCAGGGCTGGGAGGGACCTTTGCTTGCCCCACCTTCCTTTCCCTCTCTGGTGTCTGTAGCCCTCAAGGTCCGAGGCCATAGGGCAGCCCAGGACGAGGGTGGCAGGTGACAGCCCCACAGACCAAGGTGAAGATGAGAGGAACTTGGTCAGAAGAAAGAAAGATGCTTTTGGGTCCTGGGTCCCAGAGGCTGGGAGACAACCCTGAGTGCTCAGAATGCCAGTAGCCACCAAGTCAGAGCTGACAGGGCTGCCAGGTGCAGGTAGAAGGCCCCCTGGGACAGGAGGGACACTTTGAAGATAGCAGTGTGCCCAAAGGCCACAGGCAAGTGCCGTGTCCTAGTGGAGGACTGACCTCATCATTGAGGAGGAGGCCTGTTCCTAGGAAACTCAGATGGTTTGGGAAAAGGTGTGTGTGCGCACATGCATGTGTCCGTGTCTCTCTGTCTTTGTGCATGTATGTCTGGGGAACTCTGTATCTTTGTGCATGCATGTTTATATGTCTCTGTGTGTTCGAGTCCTTATGTGTGTCTGTCTCTGTGGTGTGTCTGAAGTGCATCTGATGGCTGTCCTTCCTCTTGGGGTGCAGGGTGTTTCACACTGGCTCTGCCAGATGGCCATCCTTTCTCCACGGACGTGGTCAGCCTGGGGCATCAGCACTGCGCCAGCCCTGAGGTGGGGCCCTCACGCCAGAAGGCTAGCAGGCAGCTCTCTTAGCACCTGTGGCCATGGTCTATGCTCGTGGGTGGGATCTGTGGCTGCCCTTGGCTCTGTGTGGGGCCTGGGGAGCCCCTTGTTCCTCCCAGAAGGAGCAGGTGGGGCTCAAGGGCAGCTTTAGGTCAGAGGGGGATTTTTGTCAGCTAGAGTTCTGGCCAAACAGTGTTTCTTTGCTATTCATAAGCATTGAGAAGAATGGGAATCCCTGAGCACTTGATTGTACTCATGAGGAATCTGTACCTTGACCAGGAGGCTGTCGTTCGAACAGAACAAGGGGACACTACATGGTTTAAAATCAAGAAGGGAGTGCGTCAGGGTTGTATTCTTTCTCCACACTTATTCAATCTATATGCTGAGCAAATAATCCGAGAAGCTGGACTATATGAAGAAAAACGTGGTATCAGGATTGGAGGAAGAATCATTAACAACCTGAGATATGCAGACGATACAACTTTGCTTGCTGAAAGTGAGGATGACTTAAGGCACCTACTGATGAAGGTTGAAGAATACAGTCTGCAGTATGGATTACATCTCAACATAAAGAAAACAAAAATCCTCACAACTGGACCAATGAGCAGCATCACAATCAATGGAGAGAAGATTGAGGTTGTCAAGGAATTCACATTGCTTGGTTCTACAATCGATGCCAATGGAAGCAGCAGTCAGGACATTAGACGTCGTGTAGCATTGGGAAAGTCAACTGCGAAGGAACTGTTTCAAGTGCTGAGGAGCAAGGATATCTCCTTGAGGACTAAGGTGCGCCTGACACAAGCCATGATATTTCCAATCACCTTGTATGCATGTGAGAGCTGGACAATGAATAGGGAAGACTGAAGAAGAGTTGATGCTTTTGAGTTGTGGTGCTGGCGAAGAATGCTGAAAGTACCATGGACTGCTAAAAGAACTAACAGATCTGTCCTGGAGGAAGTGCAGCCAGAATGCTCCTTGGAAGCAAGAATGGCCAGACTTCGTCTCACCTCTTTTGGTCATGTTGTAAGAAGGGACCATTCCCTGGAGAAGGATGTCATGCTTGGTAGGGTGGAGGGTCGACGAAAGAGGGGGAGGCCTTCAACGAGATGGATTGATACAGTGGCTGCGATGATGGGCTCGAGTATAGCAGGGATTGTGGGGCTGGTGTGGGATCGGGCAGTGTTTCGTTCTGCTGTGCATGGGGTCGCTATGAGTCGGAAACAACTCGACGGCACTTAGCAACAACAACAACAACAGAGTTCTGGCCATAAGTCTGACTGTGGGCAGCATAAGACTGAATGGCTGGAGAGGGCTGTGGGGTCAGGGTGTTAGCGCTGCCTAGGGACACCCATGGGAGGGTGAGCCTGCAAGGACTGTGTGGGTGTGGGGACAGCCTCCCTGAGCTCTGCATGAGGCTGGCCCTGGGGTCAGCGGTGTGGCTGGGCCCTAGTGCTGCTCAAGGCCAGGACAGCACAGCCACATGACCCCATTCCCCTGGGCCCATCTCTGTTGGGGTCCTGGCCCAGGCACTGGGGACACCATGGCCCCCAGCCTGGGCAAGGGCCCGGGCCTCTAGAATGCAGGGTTGTGGCGTGGGGGGGTGGCTTGGCACCCATCATGTTCTAAAAAGCTCGGGTGCAGACAGCCCATGTTGGCCAGTATGCTTGTGGCTTTGAAAGGCCAGGCCAGGCCAGGCAGCCTGGGCTTTGTCGGCCACCTGTGGGCCCCTGACTGCCTGGCTGGACTAGCCCTTCCCAGAAAGCACCCCATGCCCTGGGGTCACGGGGTTTCGGCTGGAGCCCCGGGCTTAACCTGGAGAAACCTGGGTGAGGCGAGCTCGGCCGGAAGCATTGAGCTCAGGGAATGGTGACATAGCTGGGCCTGGTCTAGGGCACCGAGCCCTCTAAGTGCCTGGGATGCCATGGCCCGGTGCTGGGTGGCCCTGGCCTCCCACTAAACAGCCACTCCGCTGGCTCTGGGCGAGGCCTGAAGGCGGGCAGGGCCTGCAAGGACTCATGGGACAGGTCTGACTGGGGTGCAGCATGAGTCTAGAAGGAACAGCATGTCAGGTGGGGAGAAGGGGGGATCCCATGGGAGGTGTGGGAGCCACCTGCCTGTCCTCCCACCACTCAGGCTGTTTTGTCAAGGGGAGACAGGGCAGAGGGTGCCCGCAGGCCGCGGACATGTCTCACCCACGTGGCCGCTCTGGCTTCCCTCCAGAAGCTACCCGAGGACCACGGTGGTGCTCTGCCTCGTCATTTTCCTTATCGTTGCTGCCAATTAGGGTCAGTGCATCCCTTCCTGCCTCCCCAGAATGAGCAGAGGGGGTCTTGGCTGCTCCCTGGGAGGGCAGGTGGGTAGAGGACAGCTTGGTCAGTGTCTCAGTGTGGAGCCCCTGATGTGGCCAGACCAGGGTGCACCGACTCCTGGTTTGCTGGCATTTGGGGACCATGACTGCAGGCAGCTCCCTGGGCCTCTCAGTCCCTCACTGCTGGGGCTGGGCTAACCGCTTGGCCACTGCCCCATCTCCTCAGGTCAAGCAGGCAGGGGCCCAGGGGCTCCACTCCCAGTTGGGCATCTGCGTAGGGGTCCTGGCCAGTTGCTGGGGTGGGGCACAGGCTGTGGGCACTGACGGGGCAGGCCTGGCCTGGGTCCTGCCATCAGCCTTGCTCTGTCTGGTGCAGCCTGTGGACCGAGACGCGGTGGTATGCCACCCTGACCTGGAGGAACTGCTGGAGGCCTGGCCCTCGGAGCTGCCAGATGAGTTCTTTGAGGTGACTCTGGATGACGTGCGGCGGCGCCTGGCTCAGCTCAAGAGTGAGCGGTGTGTGACCCCAGCTCCCTTACTCCACCTGTCTTCCCCAAGGGTGGGGTCCAGGGCTCAGCTGCTGGGCCTGTGCTCTGGCCAGGGCCCTGAGGCCTCCCCTCCCGTGTGCTGTCAGGAAGCGCCTGGAAGAAGCTCCCTTAGTGACCAGATCCCACCGCGAGGCGCAGAGAAAGGAGAAGCTGGAGCGTTACCCCAAGGTCAGCGGGCGGCTGCACTCAGGCTGGGCCTGTCTCCGCAGTGAGCACCCAGACAGGCTGGGCAGGACAATGCCTCCCTCCAGGTGGCCCTCACAGTTAGTTAGTGACCCAGTTAACCCACCTCTGTTCAGGTCAAGGTTCCTCTTTGATTGCCTGCTCCAACCCTACCTGGCAGCGGTATGGAAAAGGCGCCATGCCCTGCTTCCATAGTGACCGTAGCCCGAAGCCCACAGGGCAGTTTCACTCTCTCTGCTTCCATAGTGACCACAGCCCTGAACTCTACAGGGCAGTTTCACTCTGTCACCTGGGTTCACCATGAGTCAGGGCAGATGTGTCCAGCGAATCAGTTGGAGAACAGACGCCAGATGCCTGCATATTTCCGAGAACATAGGCTGCTGTGCTCTGGTCCTAACTGCCCCTCGTCCCCAGCCTGTGACACTGGGCAGCCTGAGAGGATCAGGGCTAGAGGGTGGGCCCATAACCCCCTGCCCTCCAGCTAGGTAGGGAGTGGAGTGAGGTTAAGACACTGTGGGCACCCCTCCCAGGCTGGCCTCAGCACTGGCTGTCCCTGGTGATACTCTGCCTATCCTGGCCTAGGTAGCCCTACGGGTCCTGTTCCCTGACCGCTACATCCTGCAGGGTTTCTTCCGGCCCAGTGAGACAGGTGAGGGCCCACCCATGGGCCCCTTGCTTCCCTGACTGGGGTCCAGGGAGATGGGGTGGTTTCGGGCTGGGACAGGGCAGAAGATGGGGCCAGCAGAGGGGCACAGGTGAAAGGCTGCAGGGCTGGGTAGGGTGGGCAGGGGTTCGAAGGGCCCCCTCAGTGCTTCCTGTAAGTCAGCCCCACACAGGGAACCGGGGTAGGTGCCATGGTGTCTAGGTACCTGTGTGCACATGTGCACTTGTCCTGGGCATGGGCTGGCTAAGCCCACACAAAAGTCAAGGGGGCCCTGGGGGCCTTGTCACCCAACAGTGGGGTCTCTGGCTTGGGGCTGTGGCTCCATGGGTGCAGCAGCCAGTAGGATCAGTCCTTGAAGACCAGGAAGGGGCTGTAGGCAGGGTGCCAGGGCCTCTGGGGGGCTGTGCCTTCCTCCCTGGGAGCCCCTTCGTGCACACACGTAAGGTGAGGTAGGTGCCTCTGTTGGAACAGGTGGGCTAGTCTAGGGCCTTGGCAGTGTTTCCAGGAGTGGCGTAGGCGTGTGCATGCTGGCCTGGCTGGGCCTCTATCTGATCCCCTGGCCTTGCTCCCCAGTGGGGGACCTGAGGGACTTCGTGAGGAGCCACCTGGGGGACCCCGCGTTGTGCTTCTACCTGTGTGAGTAGACTCTCCTCCTGACCTTGCTGGGGTGCCCCAGCCCCAGAGCAGCTTGGGGGTTAGGCCTTGATACCTGGGTCAGGGCTTGAGGCAGTACCTCCCAGGCAGTGTGGTCAGGGCGGGCCGGTTCCTAGGCTAGCCTGTTCCAGGTGCTGCAGTGTCAGCCTTGGACAGAAGCAGGAGGCATCTCTCCAGTCTCTGTCAGTCCCTTGCTCCCTGGGGAGCCCCCACTGCCCTCTGGGTGAGTGTCTTGCTGGGAGGGGTCAGGCCCCTGGCTCTGCTGGGCAGGCATAGCAGGCCTGCAGCCTAGACCCCATGCCTACCCTCCCACCACCCTGCAAGCCCCTCCAGCAGTGGAGGCAGGCAGGGGCAAGTGCAGAGAGAGTTCCTGACTTGGTTGCCAACTTCTCTTCATAGTTGTTGCCCCGCCAAAGACCATCTTGGGTGACGACACAATGACCCTCTTCCAGGTACCTGGACCAATGCCGCGCTGTGGGCTGAGGGGCAGGGCTGTGGCGGGAGGCGCAGTGGGGAAAGCTGTCTTCCGCTCTCGCCGCAGGGGAGCACAGGCGGGGCCAGGCAGCCCCAGAGCACGGGGTGACAAGCCCAGTGCTCAGTGGAGCGGATTAGCTGAGGCGCCTTTGAAGTCCTTTCTGATGGACTGTCTACGTCCTTCCCTTCCTGTCCAGCCTGGGGGTGGGGACACGCTTGCGGCTGCTGCCCTAAGTGCCCTCCGGAGGTCCTGCCCCCAGAGGGTCTGGGTGGGGCGGTGGCCCTGGCATCCCTCCTCGGTGGCCTGCCTGTGACCTCACTGGCCTGTTGTGGCCCAGTTTGCAGAACACATCCTGCTGGACTGTGGCCACCATGGAGGAATGTCTGTCTGTGCCCATGGGAGCACAGCCTGCTGCCCCAGTCCTCTGGCCTAGTGGCTTCCTCTTCAGTCTGCTGGGACCCTTTAATTAATGACAGGCCCTGGCCATCCCAGGTGGCCCTGGCAGGGAGTGGAACAGTCCTAGGGCGAGGGGGGACAAGTAGGGCGCCCTTCCCAGTCCCTGAGTCCCCACACGCTGCTTCCATCCCCCCGCCCCTCGGTAAACCCAGATGGTGCCCTGGGCCGACAGAGCCCCTGGGTGCCCGTCCCTGCCCACCCGATCCCAGGTGACCAGCCTGCAGCTGCAGCGGTCTCCTTCCATCAGTCAGTTCTGCGCACTCCGTGGCACCGACCTGCCTGCGACGCTGAGGGGAGGGAGGCCATCCTCCCTCAGGGCCGTGGCGAGGGCTGGGGGGCTTTACAGTCCGTCCTCTGGAACCAAGGAGGGCAGCCCTTCCTCGCCCTACAGCGTCACTGGCTGTGCGTGGCTCCCGTCACCCCCCATGCACCCCCACCCTTCTCAGTGCCACACACACACACACTCTCCCTCCCTCCCTCCCCGCCACCCTGGCCCCTTGCAGCCCCCTCTGCCCCTGCCCAGCTGGTCCCTGGGGTCCTGCTGGGCGAGGGCCCTGTCCCCTACCTGAGGCAGCCCCAGGTGTGGGGCAGGAGGCCTGCTGGGTTGCTGAGTGAGAAAGATGGTCTCAATGGGCTGGTCTGTGATGGGTGCACTTTTTCCTCCCTCAGTTGAGCCTTTAGGTGGGGCTTCTGAGGGCTGAGAGGCTGGGGGACTGGACTGCCTGGGACCCTTGGGGTGCAGGCTGGGTGCCCCATCACTATGTGCAGACCAGAGGTGGGGATGGGGCAAGACAGCACCCCCAGACCTCACCTGGCCCTGCGCCAGCTAAGAACTTTGCCAGTTGGGTGAGGTTGGACGGCCCGGCAGCTTGGCTGGCTATGGAGGGCAGCTGCCCAGGAGCCAGGGGTTCATGTTCAGGGTCTCCAAACATGGTGTGTGGCCTGGGGTCCCGTGCCCACCCCCCTCTTGTTCAGGTGCTGGGGTGGCTTGGCCTTAAAGGGGCTGCCTTTTCCAGGAGGGTTGGCACTGACAGAGTACAAGACCAAGGCTGTGTTCAGACAAGGGCTGCATGCTCTTGCAAGTCAGCCTGTCTCTCTTGCAGGGGGACCTGTTGGATCTTGGGAGGAGGGAATGGCAGCTTTACTTTCTGGGTGTGTGGGAGGGCATTGAGGGGGCAAGACCCTGTTCCCCCTTTCCTAGCAGACCCAGGTGGGAAAGGATCAGTCAATCCCTGGAGGGACATTTGGAGGCTATGGTGCCTGGATGCCCCCGACTAGGCTTCTGGGCAGTGCTGTTAGGAACCAGGTGGCCTAGAGTCCACACCCAGCCCTGCCTGTGAGCAAAATGCTGTCTAGTGGGACACTGCCCTGCCCACTGGGCCCCCAGGAAGTTTATGGCCTTTCCTGGCTCCCCACTCGCCTGCCTGCGGGTCCAGGCTGAGGCCCCTGGGCTCCTCCGCCCACCCCACAGCTCAGGAGGCTGCCCACCCAGCTGCTCCCTCCCTCCCCTGAGGGCTCCGGGCTCTGGGCTCCCAGCCCCAGTTGCGTTCCAACAAATCCTGGGCCCTGTCTGTGTTGCCCTTTCAGCCTTCTTAACCCTCACCCTCCCTCTGCCTTGGAATATGCTTTTGGTGTGGGAGCTGGGGGTGGGGCCCAGGCTCAGAGGGCTTCCCTACAGTCTAGGACAGGGTGGAGGGGCTCTGGCTGTCAGGCCCGTTAGGGGACTGGAGTGTGGATGCTCCCAGGCGGTGATGTAGTGCCTGTGTTCTTGGCCATGACCCCACTCCACCTGGAACCCCCCAAAGCAACCTGGCTCCAAGAGCCAGCCACCTGTGCTCCTGGGCTGGTACCTACCTGGGGTGAATGTATTACCTGCACACCATGCCCTTGTGGCCTGGGAGGGGACACCCACTGCCTCCTTAGGCCAATGGCCCCCAAAGTTCCACCCATGCCAAACTTCATCATGTTCTAGCAATGGCTTTTGCAGCCTTGGGAGAACAAATGGGTGACCAGAGAGCTGTTCCCCATAGGGCAGTCACATGTGTCCCCAGCCTGCTCTTGCCAGGCTCCTTGCACCCACAGCCAGCAAACGGTTGCTGGGTGCCGCCCCCCCAGGACGCTAGCAGTGCCTAGCTGCTTTGTTCTCAGGACACCACCACATGCACACACAGCCGTTCTGTTGAGCCACTGTTGTGGGAGCAGGCGTGTTACCTTCTCAGGATGGGTGATCAGATGCCAGGGTTCACACCGCAGCAGCGCCATTTCCCAGGGGGCCGTGCTGCAGTGGTGTCTGTGGCAGAGGGGGATGGGAGTCCTGGTGTGGCCCCCCAAGTGCCTCACGGGAGTGCGTGTGCGTGGGCCCTGAGCTCTACTTCTCCTGCAGGCCAACCTCTTCCCTGCAGCCCTTGTGCATTTTGGAGCAGAACAGCGGGCAGGTGAGTGCTGCCCCTACACAGCCAGGGCAGGCCCTCGGGGCTCGCCACACCCCGGGGAAAGGTGCCCTCAGTCCCTGAGGGGTCAACCTGGAGTTGAGGGATGGGCCAGCAGTGCCAGTGCCGAGGCTAGGGCAGAGTGGGTCAGGCTTGAACTCTGCCTGAGGCTGGCTCGGCCCTGCAGACCCCTACCTGGATCCCAGGCTGCTAGAGCACGCCATCTCCCCGTCGTCGGCTGACGTGCTGGTGGCCAGGTGAGCCGGCAGGTGCTGGGGCCTGGGGCAGCAGAGGGACTGGAGTGGTGGGGGCTAGGGTACAGACACATCCTGGCACCCAACTGCTCCAGGTCCATGGCCAGGGCCACAGAGCCTCCACCTTCACTGCCGATCCCCGACCCTGGGCCCACTGAGCCCACAGAAGAGCTGCTGGACACCCCGGAACCTGCCCTGGGGCTGACCCAGCCTGTACGGAGAAGCGTGGGCAAGGTGCCCAAGTGGCTGAAGTTACCAGGTACCTGGGCTGGGCTGGGGGGCCGGGCAGCAGCTCAGCGCACACACTGATCCCCACTATTTGCAGCCGGCAAGAAGTGAGAGCATGAGCCAGAGGAGCCCCGCTGGCCCGGTACCCCCAGTGGTAATAAAGACTGTACCTCACAGGGCTCCTGTCAACTCTCTGGGCTGGGGCAGGGGGGATGGAACAGAGCTCAATCATTCCCTGTTGCCTGGGGGCAGGACACCTTCAGGTAGCCAGCCACTCAGGTCGGGCCCAGGGACCCTCCATGAAACAGCCTGGGCAGGCCGGGATGCCAGTTCTCTTTTCCCATCCGGCTAATTAGCACTTCACGACACCCCCCCACACACACAGGAATAGTGGGAGTATGGGGTGGGGAGGCCCTGCCTGGTACTTGTCACATCTCCCCACCCTTGGGTATAATGGCTTCCACATGCCTGCAGCGGCACTTTGAAGCTCAGAAGTGCGGAGGAGGCAGGGCTGGGAGCCTTGGGGGCAGGCAGCTGGTCCTGGGTCACTCTGTCCCCTGCACGTCCTGGCCTTCCTCAGCAGGATGACCTGGCCCCCTAGCGGCAGCTCCCTCTGTGACAGGGTGGTAGTGTCTAGTGTCCATTCTGCTGAGGAGATGGATAGACGGACACACACACACACATACACACATGTTGCCACTTCATCTTTGGTCAGAGCATAGCTTCCGTGAAGACAGATGGGAAGGGCTGGGGGCCAGAAGGAGGCTTTGAGACGCCTGCGCTGTCACTCATGGTGACAGGCTGAGCCAGGAGGGATGCTGCTTTGTGGGAACAGATATATGTACACATGGACATGCTCTTTGTGGGACACCACTGGTTGGAAGGTCACAGACCAGCTCTGAGGTCAGCGGGCAGCAGGGGCGGAAGGAGGCAGCACCACACATACTGCCTGCTGCGCAGACCAGTGGGCAGCTGCTTTCGTGGCCACTCTGTCCCACACGCACGGACGCCCCACGCCGCAGGCCCTGTTGCCAGAGCACAGCATCTCTACATGCACGGTCAGAAAGGCCCAGAAGACAAGTGTCATTTACTGAGGCCATGCTGCTCCCCGGGCTGACAGCTTGAAGCTCCTTGGGCCCAACCCTGCTGGAAACCGAAGACGGCACCACCCGGTCCTGTGACAGGATGCTGAACCCAGGCACAGGGGGCTCGGCTGGAACGTGGGATAGGTGGCCTCCAGGGCTAGGGAGCTCTCTAGAAGTCCAGGAGCTGGGGGGCAAGGAGGGCATTCAGAGCCTTGCCACGTGAGCCCTACCCACCCCACGGCACCTACTCCTGCCAGAACTGCCCAGGAAAACAGGGTCCCACATACCAGCTGAGGCAGCACCTTCTCTAGCTGGTCCACATCCACACGAGGCAGGTCCTCGGCCTGGGCCTGCCGGATCCCACGGACAGCTGCCTCTACCAACCCAGAGGGTGGGAGACTACAGGTACCGTACCTGTACCCAGACCCTCCTGGGGCCTTGGCCTGGAGACACACCCACCCCAGGTGCACCGTGGAACTTGTGGGGAGCCCTGGGTCACATCCCACAGTGGCCAACTCACCCACCACGAAGATTCTCAGCATCTCGGCCATCAGCTGCAGGGCATCTGCGTTGACTGCATGGAGAAGGGGATGTCACCTGGGCCACATACTAATCTGCCTCATCCCCTGTGCAGTGCTCCTGCCCACCCTCCTCAGGCCTTGGCTGAAGCACTGGGCCTGTCCCCAAGGCAGGGCAGTTGTCCCTGGACACTGGCTCCCCCCGGCCTGCCGTCCGCTCGTGCCCAAATACCTCTGGTCTTCTTGTCCCTGAAGTGCAGGGAGAGCAGCTTGTTCACCAGCTCCTGGAGGGGGAGTGGGCGCTCAGCAGGCGGGCAGATGCCCAGACTGCACTCCCCCGGCCACAGAGTTACAGACAGTGGTCGTACGCCCAGCTCTGGTGCCAGGTCAGTGGGACTCTGGGGTAAGGGTGCCGAGTGGATGAGGCTGCTCGTGAAGGACCTACCAGTGAAGGTGGGGAGATGGGGTCTGACGACAATTCCTGTAGGGAAGTCCCTTGCAAGAGGCCAAGGGCCAGACATACAGGGGATAATGCGGGGCAGCCCAGTGCTGGCCACCTGGACCCCACAGGGCGAGGAGCGACTGGAGACAAGAAGCCAATGGCTCTGTGTCCCCACAGGTCCAGCAAGGTGATCAGTTTGTCCAGGCCGAGACCAAGGGGCCTCTCCCAGGACGGGAGTCCAAGTGACTCCCACAGGCTGGGGCACCTCCCTCACCCTGCCAGCTGGACACAACACAGGAGGGCTCCCCTGGGCAGAGGGAGCAGGGTGGGCAGAAGGCCCTACAGTGGAGAGCATGTGGTGTGGTGGTCAGTATGGCTGCAGTGGGCTGAGCTGGACCAGGGGCTGGCGAGTGTTCCAGGGTTCAGAGATAGAAGCAACACCATCTGATGCTTCAAAGGACAGGCAGGAGGGGGCAGTGGTCGGCAAGGGGCCCAGCACCCAGAGGAGGGCAAGCAGGAACAGCGGGTGGATAGGCAGGTGTCTGGAGTGAACCGAGACCCCCTGGGGCTTGGCCTGAGCCCTGCAGGGCCTGGGATCCCATGGAGTGGGAAGGCTGTGAACAGTACGTATTCTGTAGGGCCAGGGGATGTGGGGTTTGCTTTGGCCGCGTTGAGTGTGAAATGCCAAGTGAATGGGCAGGTAAACGTTTGAGAAGGAGGTCGGAGCAGGACACTGGCATCTGGGAGGTGGCATTTCAAGCCGCGAGACCCCATGAGGTCTCTCAGGGCAGGGATTAAGGAGCCCTCACAGGAGCAGTGGGGAGGGGCACGTGCAGAGTGGGTGCCGTGCAAGGACAGGAACTGGGGACCTCACAGCCCCTGGAGTCTGCGCCAGGAGGTCTGGAGAAGGCAGAGGGGACGGGAGCTGGCGTGTGGGCATCCAGGGGCCGGCAAGCACCCAGCAGACCCCTCCCAGAGTCTCCCTCATTACCCCCCATGGAAACCCTGCACATGTCAATCACTCATGGACTTGGTGCCCCGTTCACTGGCCCCAGAACCAGCCGCAGAGTGGTGCTGCACTAGGCTGGGGCTTGGTGTGTGGCATTGCTGGAGGAAGCCCTGGGGACGCTTGCGCAGTGATGGGCACAGCCATAGCTCTGGGCCAGGGCCCTGGCCATGGGCACAGCCCTCAGATGCACCTGCGGGGAGCTGGGAGGTGCGCCTGGAATCCCAGGGTTCTCCCAACACAGTGCGCAGGCTCAAGTGCTAGAGGACTTTTCATGCTAGATCATTAACCTTTCAGTGCTTGGGCAGAACCACGTTAGAGAATAGCGAGATATAATTCAAGCAGAAGACAAAACCAAAGAGAACTCTCCAGTGCTTCTGTAGGCTGACCTCTTCCACGAGACATAGGTGGGTAAAGGAAGTGTGGACGACAGGCTAAGACCCTCGAGGCCCCTTCCTCGTGGGAAGCCGGGCGGGGACCAAGTGAGCTGCTAGGCTGTGGGAAACTGCAGCCATGGGACAAAATACGTGCAGACTGCCGAAAGGAAAATGAATTTGCTCTGTAAACTTTCACCCAAATCACAACAAAAATTTAAAAAAAAGGAAGCCAGGGCCTCCTTTGAGCAGAGGCACCAAAGCCGACTCAAAACCCTCCCAGCCGCACCGGGGCGCTGGCGCTGCACACGCAGGCACGCGCCCACATGCTCCCACATGCACTTGCGAGCAGCACATGCCACGTGCGGGAGTCACGGGCGACGTATGGAGACGGCTGTGTGGCTTCGCCCTCTGTGCCTCAGTTTCCTCGTGGGTAGAACGGGGTGGGGCTGGTAGCTGGCATCCAGGGGTGTGAACACTGGGTGTGTGGATGTCAAGTGCACAGGACCATACCTGGCAGACACAGGTGCGGCGTGCTTACAAAGCCTTGGAAGGACCCAAACATACCGGCGGCCCGAGGAAAAGGAGGCCGCCTCCTGAGCAGCTGAAGCGCGCGGAGACGAGAAGCGGAGCACAGGGCCCCTGTCACCACCAGACAACGGGCAGAGCCATCAGCAGGGCAGGCAGGGCGCTGCCTGGCCCCGGCTCCGAGTCACACTGTCCCAGCGCCTTCCGCACCCTTAAGAGAGGCCTGGGGACGCGTGGTGCGCAGGCCCCGCGGAGCGCTGTCCCTCTCAGGCCTCTGGTGTCCTTCTCGGCCTCGGGACACGCCCGCGGGCCCCCGCGCCTCCCACCCCGGGGGCTGCCTCCGGACGGCGTCGGTCGGCACCGCAGGGGCTGGGCCGCCCGGGGAAAGCGCGGAGGTCGGAGCGCACTGCCAGGCGGGACGCGGGGTTGGCCTCTCCTCCGGGCTGCGGCTCCGGCCCAGCCGCTCCTTATACACCTCTGCCAGCCCGCTCACCTTCCGGAACCCGACTCCGGCTCCGGCTCCGGCTCCGGCTCCGGCTCCGGCTCCGACTCCCTCCATGCCAGCTGCCTCCGCGCGCGCCGCGGAGCCCCGCCCGGCACCCCCAGCCAATCAGCTCGGAGAGCGCCCTTGGAGTCCCGCCCCACGCTCTCAGCCAATCAGCCCGGAGCGCGCCCTCTCAGAGCGCGCGCCCTCTCGCGCCACACCAATGAGCCCGGAGCACGGCCTCGTCCCCTCTCTCTTATTGGCCCGCAGCAAGCACCTCCTGCGCGAAGCCCCCTGGGGGTTGTCGGCTCCGCCGGCCCCTTCCCGGCACGCCCCGCTCTTCCTGGATACTGAGGCGCCGCGGCGGCCGCGCAGATAGCAGCGGAGAAGGAGCCAGGGCCGGGTGCTCGTGCGCGAGGGCAAGGCTGGGGGCCGCGGCCGCGACACGCAGAGCGGGGGGCGTCCGAGCAAAGGCCCGGATGGCGAGGCTTGGGCCCTGAGCGCCCTGCTGGGCCGGCCGGCGGCCGCCCCCACCTCGACCGAGTGGGCTCCCTGCACCCCGTTCTCCCGCCTCGGGAACCAGCTCCTCTTGTTCCCACCGCCGTCACGCCTGCCGCGGCAGCGCCTCCCGCGCTGAGTCCCGCGCTGAGCTGGCAGGGGCACCGTAGGCAGGACCCCTGGGGACAGCGTCCCCGTTTTCCGGCCGGTCGCCCACAGCCCCGTGTGCCCGGGCATGGAAGAGTTCCGGCGCGCCTACAGCCGGCTGTGCCGGGAGCACGGCGCCGAGCCCCAGGAGGCGGTGCTGCGGCAGCTGCAGGAGCCCCACAGGGGCCGGCTGGACCTGGCCGCGCGGAGCCTGACGGCCGACACCTGCGGGGCCCTGGGTCGGCTGCTGCCCAGCCAGGCGTTGTTCACCGAGCTGGTACTCAGAGACTGCATGCTGAGCGAGGCAGGTGGGCGCCGGGCCCTGGGCTGGGGTCGAGCCCTGGGCCCAGCCGGCACCCGCCGGGGTCGCTCTGCTGCAGGGCACTGCACAGTCAGGTCCAGGGACCCGACCTTAAAGGCACACGTTAGCCCAGTGAACGGCAGCTTCCTGCGAGACCAGGGGCAGGGAAGCCCTAAGGCCCCCGAGTTGGGTGAGGCGGCCCTGGCGGGGTGGGGGTCTCCTGCAGGGACCAGCAGCAGGAGGTCCTTCCTCCCCTGCAGGCACCAGGCTACTGCTCCAGGGCCTCTGCTCCAACACCGTCGTGCGGCTCCTGGACCTGAAGGTGAGGGGCCTGCACTCCAGCCAAACCCCCGAGGCTGGGACAGTCCCCATGAGGGGGCCTGGTGCTCTGGTTGGAACCCCCGAGGCTGGGACAGAGTTGGCTGGCATGTGCCTGTGAGGGAGCCTGAGCTCCAGGCACACACCCCGAGGCTGGGTACTGGGGATGGGATGTCCCAGTGACCTGGAGGCTCAATAGAAGCCAGAGATCACGTGAGGCTGTGAGGTTCCTAGGACTCAGGGTCCCACGTTCTGACGAGTAAGCCCACGTCCTGATGGTGAGGAGGTGTTTTCTGGATGACCCCACATGCAGCCTAATGGACTGCTCCAGGAGGCCCCTGCCCACAGGAAGCCAGGGGAACTGGCCCCTGAGAGGGGCTGCCCCTTCCATCTCGAGTCTGGTCCAGGTAGCTGGTGAATGTTTTGTGCCCTCCCGTCCTAGGGCAACAATCTCTGTGCCGTGGGGGCTGAGGTCCTGGGCAAACTCCTTCGGCAGAATAAGTCCATCCAGAGGTGAGGACCGTCCAGCCGCACCCTTGCTCCCCGTCTCTGCCTGCTTCAGGAGTGGCCCCACAGGCCTTCTGCAAGCCACCAGTGCCGTGGAGCAGGTGGTCCAGATGGGCCACGTGCCTCCATCCCCCACCCCCAGCATCCCAGGCTGGGCCCCTGTGGCCTGGGCACGGGGTGGGAGGTGGGCCAGCAGGTTCCCTGGGGCAGCACCTTCCCGACCATCCTTGTGCAGCCTCAACCTGGAGTGGAACAGCTTGGGCGCGTGGGAGGAGGCCTTCGCCACCTTCTGCATGGGCCTCGGGGCCAATGAGGCCCTGCGGCAGCTGGACCTCCGCAACAACCAGGTCAACCACAGAGGGGCCGAGGAGCTGGCCCTGGCCCTGAACAGCAACTCCAGCCTACAGCAGCTGGGTGAGGCCCCCAGCGCAGGGACTGCCCCAGTGGCTGTCCTGAGGTGTGGGTGTGGAGGGCAGGGTTGGGAGGAGGGGCCCTGCCCCACCCTGAAGAGTGAAGCCCACCCCTGCTCCCGTGCCACCCTTGACGGCAGCTTCCCTTGCAGACCTGCGCTGGAACAGCATTGGTCTCCTGGGGGGACGGGCCCTGCTGAGTAGTCTCCCCAGCAACAGAACCCTGTGGAGGCTGGAGCTGGCCGGAAACAACATCCCTGGTGATGTCCTCAAAGCCGTGGGTAAGGGCGCATGTGCGGGTGAGGTGCGACCCCTCTTCCAGGGAAGGGGGTTGGGTTGGGGCTCTGAACAGGAAGCTCTTGAAAGCATCCCACCCTGAAGATGGAGCGGGCCTGCGGCCTTCCCGGGCCTCATCTCCCGCTGCCCTCCCGGCCCCTCACTCGCAGGCTCCCGAGGGAGGGCTGGTTGGTTGGCACATCAAGCCGCCTCCAGTGTTGGGCACTCAGGCAAGCTGGTGCCTGACGGGTGCCAGGCATACCCCTACCCCATCCCCGGGGGTGATGTGTGACCACCTCCGACAGAGCAGGCCGTGCACCGTAACCGGGACCGGCAGGTGGCCTTGCGGGAGAGCCAGGAGCGCACCCATGTGCTAAGCAAGGAGATTCGCAACCTGCAGGAGGAGAAATCCAAGCAGGTGTGGCAGGGGTGCTGCCCCATCTACACCCTGCCCCCAGGCTTCTTCCCTTTGGGCCCAGAGCCTAGAGCCCCCCGTCCTTGAGGTGCCCTCTGTGGGGATCTGTCCTCCGAGTGGGTGGGGGACCAGGGACGTGGTGGGTGTCTGCCCGCCTTTCCTCCCTGGCGAGGGGGCCGGCAGGGCCCCACGTACCCACAGGCTCAGCTGCTTTTGTAGTTCCTGGACTTGATGGAGACCATTGACAAGCAGCGAGAGGAGATAGCCCAGAGCAACAGGTGAGTGACTTGGGGGGTTGAGGGGTGAGGGACCTGGAGGGGGTGGTGGACCAGGGTGGCGGTGGGGGAGGTGTTCAGGCTTCAGGTCAGCAGCCCCAGCTCCGCTTGGGGTGTACAGACCTCTGTGACCCCAAGACCAGGAGCCTGTAGAGTATGTTTTCTGAGGTGGCTGCAGGGTGCTTCCTGTCGGGGGCCAGGGCAGGCGTGCAGGAACGGGTGCCTGCTGTGAGGGTGGAGGCCCAGGTGTTGGGCATCCGCTGGACCCTCCGCTGTGCCCCCAGGACTTCAGCCACCCGCGTGGGCCAGCTGCAGGATGCCCTGAAAGAGAGGCACTCCATCGTCAACGCGCTAAAGGCCAAGTAAGGGCTGAGAGTGCCAAGAAGGGGTCTTGATGCTTGAGGGGGCACGTCCTGGGGACCAGAGAGATGATAGAAAACAGATGCCAAGTCATGAATGTTGCTAGAGCCTCATAGTGGAAATGGGATGGGCTGGGGTGCCAACCCAGAGAGAGCCCCTGAAGGAGGTGTCAGATGAGGTCTGAACCGGGGACCAGAGAGTGAGAAGATGGCAAGGCGCATGCAAGGTGCTGAGCTGGCTGAGGGTCTGCCGGGCCTGCCCAGGAGGTGGGCGGCCCACTGGACCCTCGGTCACGGGTGGCCGCCTACTCTCTACAGACTGCAGATGACAGAGGCTGCCCTGGCGCTGTCGGAGCACAAGACCCGGGACCTGGGCGAGCTCCTGGCTGCTTCTGAGCAGGAGCGGCTCGGTCTGTCACACAAGCAGGCAGAGGAGCGGAGGCTGGAGCAGCAGGTGGCCGGGGGGTGAGGGGGTGGGGGGAGCAGAGCTGGTGGTGCTCGGCAGCAGGGTGACCCCATGCTTCTCAACCCCACCCCCCAGGAAGCCTCCGCGCGAGAGTCTAAGCTCCTTCGGGACTTGTCTGCTGCCAACGAGAAGAACCTGTTGCTGCGGAACCAGGTACAGGGGCGGGCAGGTGAGGCCAAGGTGCTGGGGGAGGGGGGCCGGGGCCCCGGCCTCCCTGACGTGGTGCCGCGTGGCAGGTGGAAGACTTGGAGCAGAACGTAAAGTCCCAGCAGGAGCGGCTGTTCCTGGCCAAGCAAGAGCTGACCAACACGGTGGCTGAGCTGAAGCTGCGGGTTGTCCAGGCTGAGGGTGGGTCCCAGGACTCGAGGGGTAGACAGAGGCCTTGGGAGGGGCTCTTGGGGAGTCTCAGCTCATCTCCCCCCGGCCCCAGAGCGCCTGGACGTGGAGAAGAGGAGGTTCAAGCAGAGCCTGGAGGATTCAGAGCAGCTGCGTGTCAGAGAGGTGCCACTTCTCCCCGCCCTGCTGGCTTCTCTGCTCTCCTGGGACCCCAGGGTGCCCATGGTGTGGGTCCCCAGACCGGTGTTCACCCACACCCCCTGGGTGCTGGCATAACGACTGGGCAGATGCCAGGCCTGGGTCTTCCCAGCAGCGATCTGAGGGGGACGCTCAAACACACTCTGTACCCCAGGCTCCGGACAAGGCGTGTGTCCTGGCGCCCACGCTGTGCTCTCCGCTCTCCTTGCTAAGTCTTCCTTGAAGGCAGCATTTTCCCAGAAAGAACACGGGCTCCCGTAGAGGGGAGGGGGAGCCCCTCACAGCTTGGCATTGTCACAGGTGGAGCACATGGCCCGGCATGTGGAGGAGAGTGAGCGGGCCCTGCAGGAGCGGGTGCAGAGGCTGGAGGCCACAAGACTGACCTTGGAGGAGGTGTGCATCCTTGGTGCCAGGCAGGGAGGGGACAGTGCCTACTTGGGGGCCCTCGGAATCACTAAAACCAGAGATTGGGATGGCCTTGGGTTCCCAGCCAGGGGAAACCCTACCTGGGAAAGGAAATTCCAGCAGCAGCCATGAGACCTTTAAGAGGCTGGTGGGGGGAGGTCTAGCCAGTTGCTAGTGTGACGTTTGGTGTTTGGGAGGGCCTGGCCCAGCAGGGGCTGTGAGTGGGATCTGCTGTGCAGGACCTGAGCCGTGTGAAGGCAGCCGCACTCAGCGAGCGAGGGCAGGTTGAGGAAGAGCTCGTTAAGGCCAAGACCCAAGTTCGCCTGGAGGAGGTACCGCTGTGCCCAGCCAGGTCCCTTAGGGACAGGGGTGCACGGGGCCAGGCCAGTGAGGGCTGTGTGGATACCAGGCTGGGTTCTGGGGGAAGATGAGCTGACAGACAAAGTGGGGTCGGGGAGTTCATAGGAGCACACTCCCGTCCCCCAGCACCATGGCCAGGTGGCCCGGCTTGAACACAGCTTTGGACTCTGGTGCAGGCATGTGGCCCTAGAGCCTGTAGCTGGATGAAAGAAAGGAGGGGTGGGTAGAGTCCACCTGGGACTTGAGGAGCCACCCAGGAAGGCGTGCTTCCGGAAGGCTCGGGACAGAACTGGCCATAACCTGGGCCATGGTGGGTGGCTGATAGAGCTGCATCCTGTGACTCCACGTGCTGACGGTCCCTCGTCCCAGCTCGAGGAACCTGCCGTTTGGCAGGACAGGGCCCACGGGTGCTCACCACCCTCCCCGCCCCAGCAACAGCGCCTGGCCCACCTGGAGGAGAAGCTGCGGCTGTTGGCACAGGCTCGGGATGAGGCCCAGAATGCTTGCCTGCAGCAGAAGCAGGTGATGGCCGACGCCCAGGCACGGGCCAGCCAGCTCAGCCTGCAGGTGGATGGCCTGCAGCGGCGCCTACAAGAGTTACAGCAGGTAAGGGAGACGGTCCGCACCTGCGCCTCACCCCACACCCACCGCCACTGGCTCCAGGGGGCCCAGCTGTGTCTTATCCCACCCCCTGCTGCCAGGAGCTGAGCCGCAAGGACCAGGAGAAAGTGGCGGAGGTGACCCGGGTGCGGCTCGAGCTGCAGGAGCAGACGGGGCACCTGCAGGCCCAGCTCACGGCACAGGAGGGGCTCAGGGAGAAGGTGGCTGCCCTGGAGCGCCAGCTGAAAGGTGAGAAGACCCCTGGCGCCTGGGAGTGCGTCCTGGAGGCCACGGGGCTCACCGACCCCTCTCCCTGCAGTCATCTCAAGTGACCACCGGGAGGCGCTGCTGGACAAGGAGAGCGAGAACGCCTCCCTGCGGGAGAAGCTTCGCCTCAAGGAGGCGGAGATCGCGCGCATCCGCGAGGACGAGGCCCAGAGGGCCAGCTGTCTGCATAACGCTGTCCTGGCTTACGTACAGGGGGCGCCCCTACGGGCCCTGAGTCCTCAGAAGTGACACGATGGCATGGCCAGGGAGAGGCCCGAGCACAGTGTCTGGAGGTGTGCAGGAAGAAGACTGCCCCTCTCTGCCCTGAGACGGCAGTGCCGAGCCCTTAATCAGTACGGCCTGCGCCCATCTGCCCAGACCGAGCTGGGGTGCCGGTGCATCCCGCCACCAGGGAACCCTGGGTCCAGATGGCCCTTCCACATCTTGCCGCCATCCCTGAAACCTTGTGCCTTTGGAGTGACTGGGAGGGTCAGGACCCAGCTGGCGGTCCGCCTCCCCCTTTGGTCGTCCCTTTTGCAGTGCAGACCAGCCATCGGCTACTGGGACTCGGGACTGGTTGAAATACAGGACTTTTGCACTTTGTGATACATCTTGGGTCTGCTTTCTCCCACTGCAGGCCGTGTGTCTCTTCCTCCTGAGCGCGGTGTGGCCCGCTGCTGGCGGGGAGAGACGGGGCTGGTGCCGAGCAGCTGCCGGCCTTGGGGACACTAGTGACCTGGTGCAGCCCTCACCGCGTCCCTGGAGGCTGCACAGGGGGTGAAGGTGGGTGGGTGGGTGCTTGCCCTGGAAAGACCATACAGCCATGCCCGGCCTGCCTACGATTGGCACGAGCCGGAGGGTGGTTGCGTGCGCGCGCCGAGACCCGGAGCGTCTCCTGAGCGACCTGGCCCCCCCCGCCGGGTGTGGATCGCGGGTACCCGAGAGCCCCGTGCACAGGGCCTCTGGGGTGTCAGGGACAGCCCCCTCCGCCCTAGTGGGGCGGCCCCACCCTCTGGCGCGGTCCGGGAGGCG